GATGAGGACGGCGAGGTAAGCAAGCGCAGACAAGTTCAGGTTTCTCGATTTTCCCACCCCCCACACGTCCCACGCTGTAGAAAACTAGAAAACTACAACTACACGGGGCATGTGGGTCCCGGCCCCAGCTGCCGTCTCCCGGGAATAGAACCCAGGATGCGTTCTACTCGAGGGAAGGTGGTGGAGCTACGTGTAGCTCCCCCATTGGGCCTCTCGCTCTTAGCAGCCAAAATCTCCCCCGCCGAACCTGACGGACGACCAGTGCATTCAGTTTGACGAAGCTGATCCGAGTCTCCCAGTTCCGGCACCTAAGACCAGGTGCATTCAGTTTGACGAGGCTGATCCGAGCCTCTCAGGTTCGGTCCCGAAGCAAGAGGGTACCCTCAGCAGGCTGCCAAATCACACACAGGGTCTCTCTCCACTCCTCTCGAAATCCGCAAAACGAGAACGAATCTTCCGCTAGAACATGGGAAGATACAGTACCATATTGTCTTTTGTGCCTGTGGTGAGCAGTGGAGAGAGGCCCAGACCCCCCCCCACAGATGTCCCAGCGGCTAACCCGCTTGAGATAGGTGTGAACAGAACGGCGGCGGGTTGGCGATGGCGAAGTGCTAGAGCCGACATAGCCGGATCGACGGATGCACTCTGACACTTGCACTGGCACTTTGTTCGTGAAGATGCGCGGGCCATCGGAACCACGTGGCGCTCACTCGGCTATGGTGCTTTCCTAAAATGGTGCTTTCCTAAAGCAGTAAACCCAATACCTACTACTGGCCAAGCGTCAGGGAGAAATGAAGAGAACGAGAATGATTAAAACTAGCATATTGAAAGATTAAGCGACATTTGGCTTTCTCTTCGGCATAGCCAATGCCATCGCCGCCGTTGATGAGCTTCGATCATCGTTCGTCGCAGCTCTCCAGCCGCGTAAGTGTGAAAGCAACCAACCATAACAAAGCCAGCAAGTCTAACGGGATCCAGCCGCCATCGCCGCCGGCATTTGCTGCATAAAGCGCCTGAACCTTCTGCTGTTTGGCTGTACCTACCCCGTGTCGTCCCCCATCCTCGCCTCCTCTCCCTTGTCCTCCGCTCCCCTTGGGCTTCGGCTACAGCTACGGCTACAGCTACCGGTACAGATACGGCTACGGCGGGCGGCTCCCGGCCATCGCCCTCGCCGCCATCGTCGCCGCTATTGCGGCATAAAGGGCCTAAACCACCTTCTGCTCTTTTGCTGTACCTACCCGTTGTCCTTTCCCCATCCCCGCCTCCTCTCCCTTACCCTCCTCTCGCCCTTTCCTCCGGCCAAACCTTTCGCGCTGCTCTTTGCACTGTGGCTCTGTTCTTCGTTGTCGTGATCTTTCCTTCTTCACGTGCAAAGAAATCGCCATCGCCCCTCTCCCCCGAAACTTGTGGGAGAGAGAGAGAGAGAGAGAGAGAGAGAGAGAGAGAGAGAGAGAGAGAGAGAGAGAGAGAGAGAGAGAGAGAGAGAGAGAGAGAGAG